TGTGCGCATTGAGTCAGGCAAGGTGTATTTAATGAGTGCACACTGCACCAAAACCTATACTTGGCAAAGGGAATATAGACTTGAACTAGATTTTGCACTTTTCTTCAAATATTCTTTAGTCTATTAATAAAGAAAAAGAGGAAAGTCAACCCATGATGCCAGCTCAATTTGATAAGTGTTTTCACAAATTTCTGACACATCTTGTGTCCAATACACACATGGTGCTATGGAAGCATACAGGAGGGTCTCAATTAGAGTGGGCTGAGGGGACAGATAGATTGGAGGGGCTGACACTTGGAGGGGTTATAAATTTTGAGTGGAGGTTAGATCAGACAGGCAGGGAAAGGCATTCCAGAGAAAAGGAAGAGCAAGCAGTGTGTCTGTAATAGTGACCCATGCCTACCCAGGGAAGTTCAACCATCACTAATATGGGGAAGTGGGCCCACACAAAAGGCATGAACTCTCCTAAAATCGGGAGAGGACACAGAGAAAAATGAATGCTAGGTGACGATATCTTTGTATAATCCACCTAAAAGAAAATATTAAACCAATTAATGCTAAAGGTTTTGCCCAGGGAGCATTCATGAGTCTTTAATGGTTCAATGAAAAGAAGTCACGAAAGACACTTTAATACGAACACTCAGTTACGGGAAAGAAATTAGAAAACATGCAAATGTGGAAGTCAAACTTGGAAGAGGTCACTGAAGAAGAAATTGATAGCCAGAGTGTCAATACATGCATGCAGGTTAAGGGGAGCAGGATACCAGCTGCAAGGAGTTTACTGGGAGGGATTTCCCAGGCCATTTTTGTGGTCTATAAAAGTAGAAAGCAGGCAAGATGTGTAGAGAGCTGGGTAAGTTAAGTCACATGGAAGCTGTGAAAATTTCTAGAACGAATAGTAGGGAGATATGGGGTAGTACCTAGAGGGGACAGATGTGTTCATTAGTTATTTCTTTACATTCTAGGTGATGTGAACCTGCTGAAATGCTGTAGGGATTCCAGGCAAGTTAGCTTGACAGTGAGAACAGATACAAAGAGAGGAGGAGGTGTGTGTGTGTTGGGGGGAGAGGTAGCGAGAGGATTTTTATTGTTCTGAGAGAGGTCTAAAATGAAGGAGAGTATATCAATCAGTACAGGCTAACTGCTATAATAAATAACCACACAATTTTGGAGTGACTTAACCCAAGAAGATTTATTTCTTCACAGTCCAATGCAGTTTTCTTGGGAGGGGAAATTATCAGCTCTACGCAGTCATTCAGGAGCCCTGGCCTTCTTCCTTCTAGTGGCGCCTCCATCTATTAGATCCTAGGAGTCCTACCATGAATCCTCTACAAACAGCCAAATGGCAAAAGAAAGCTCTGGAAGATTGTGTTAATAGTTTCAGTTTCAGGAGCGGCACCTGGGAGTGGCTTATTCTACTTCCACCCACATTCCATTCGCCAGAACTCAATCACAGGGCACAGGGCAAACGACTGCAGGCATGCTGGGACTTGTCATTTAGCTGGATGCCCAGAAGGAAGGAAAATGGGATTGGTGAAGCCATATCACCAACTCGAATCCAGATGGATACAGAGTATTCTTTAGCTCAGATCGGGGGGTATATTAACTGCCTAGGGAGACAGAACAGTTCGATTCATTAAAGTATAAAGTGGGACATGTAATTTTCCTGAACCCTTACTCCAGGGCCAATTTTAAAGGATGACAGTTTGAGCCAAGGACCTGTTCAGTAAAATCTGGAGAACAGTTTTTCGTATAGTGCCAAAGAAACAACAAAGAGAGAGAGAGAGAGAGAATACACCAGATGGCACTAGCAGAAAAGATCACATATATTTGACTGACTCCTAATCACTCCCCATAACTTTTTTCCCATACAAATTCCTCACACCAGGAAATGTTCGTTTAAAACGATTAAAAATCCTTCAGGGAACCCCCGCCCCACTCCCTGCCACCACATGATTAGCCCGGGGGGCTCACACGCTGAAATCTATAGAGAGATTTAGGTCTCAGAGTATTTGAAGGATAGGCAGGGCTCTCACCACCTTAACACAGAAGCAGTCCTACACCCCAGTCAAGGAACCTTGGACACTATCTATTGCTACCTTTTGCCTGAGGCAAAGGAGAAAGAGAACTGCACAGCTGTCCTAAACAAGTAGGGTATGAGACCTCTGTCTTCCACCAAGAATAATAATAAGATAGCCTTGACTGAAAGCTCACTGTGTGTCAGACACTATGCTTACATGTATGAACTCACAACAATTCAGTGAGGTAGCCACTGTTGTTATCTCTTTTTTACAGATAAGGAAGTTTCCTGATGCCCACAAAGGTTCAATAACTGACTCGAGGTTACCCAGCAATAAATGTTGAAAAAGAGTTCAAATTAGTTGGCTTTCAGAGTTTGTGTTTTGGACAACTATGTTCTACTTTTGATAGCACTGTATTTTCTCATTGTAAACGCAGGCAGGATGGAGTAAAAAATAAAAGTCAACACGATTTGAAAACAATATTTTGTGATGAACATAAAACGTTTTCTACAATCAGCAGCCCTCATTCGATTGGTATATTTCTTACTTTATTATCTGATAATTGCCAAAAGATGACAAAGTGTAGATGTATTTTCCTTAGTTTACTTTTAGCTCCCTTTATTTCAAGCCTCACAGTCAATGTGTTCCCTGCCTTATGTTTCAAGGTGGCTCCAGGTTCTTTTTCCTCCCATGTGATTACAAAAGCAGTTAGCCTTTTAGCCTAGCAGGGGGAATGAGAGGAAAAGGAGAGGCAAAAATTTTTAAACTTTAGGCACTGTATCTCCAATAACTGACAACATTTTATCTTAATTATGCTTTATAGTATTGGAATACTAAACAAAGAGGAACGACCTGCTTACTCTGCAGTCTGGAGCAGAATGAAACAGAACACATAGGACAGAACACAGCAAATGAGCTGTAAATGTTTGTGCACAAGGTTTGATCTTGGGGATGGAGGGAGGATTTTTTTAAGTTATTCAAATTCTGAGTTGCTTTCAAAGAGTTCTTCTTAGACGTCAATAATAAATTCTTCAGATACCCTTATCCCAGACAGCCCTGAAGTCCAGTTTGTAACAAGACCAATAACTCACTTCTTGATCTCTAAAGCTGCTTGTTCAATTCTCTTGACTTCAGAGCCAAAATGAGTTGTTTATTACTTACGGCAAGTATTAAAAAGGCCATCTCAACCTGTGGTCAGTTCCATGAATGACAACTTGTTTTCTGATAACTTGCAAGCACATGGACAATAGCCAAATTTCTAAAAAGATTTAGGTACATCAAATGTATACAGATGATCACTTAAAACCCTTTTTTCCAGTAATATTTTAGCATCTAATTTGATAAATCACTGCATTTGGAGGCTGTGGGGGTGTACAGAGACCTTCAGAAAGTAAACATAAACTGGAGGCTTAGTGGTTTGAAGATATTCAAGCAGAAAAGTCTAGCAAAGAAAAAGGGGGGTTGTAATATGGATCAGTCTCCATGTAACCTTGAGCCAATCAGCTAACTTCTCTGGAACACCAGTTTCTCATTTTTTGAAACAAGATTTTATGCAATAAACACTATAATCTAGTGAAAGACTGGATCTGGTATACCATAGGCTTGGATGGATTGCTGGCATTAGTATTGGAGATTTTGTTTCCCTGTTTGTTACAATTCGGATGAATAATGATTAAATTGTCTACTTAATTTATTCTTACGTGCCTGCCCACGTATAAGTGGTCAATACAGGCTGTTTTCATTTTTACAATTGCTGATGGAACCCACTGCATGGCTAGCATTGGGAAAGAGGCCCAGAATACAAGGTTGTGCAGAATGCAAGTCTACTCTCAACGAATTCATTTTGTAGGGAAGAGGTGGGGGGTTCAACTAGGAAGCATCAACTTCCTCACTGGGAAAGAAAAGAGGCTTCATAGAAAAGCTGCTGGAGTCCACGCTTAAAGATGAGTAGCGTTGGGACCAGAACCAGATGTCTAAGAACTCTTTGAGGCTTAATGTTAGGAAGTTTTGAAACGATTGGTCTAGAATGTTGTATATACGAAGTTCATTTTTTCAACACCCAATATTCAGAACACATTCATTCATTAACTTTCCATCCAGAAATGTAATCATTAACTACTGCTGGACCCCCTTTTCCCACAAAACCAAGCAAAACTTGCTTAGGAATCCCAATTCTGAGGTTTGGAAAACACTTTTACGACCTATCTCTGCTTGCATGTATGAACTCATACACATGAGTTGTGAGGTATTCCTCTTATAGTCAGAAAATTGGAGGCCAATATCATAGGCACAGCCGGGGAATGGACTGGCCAAAGCTCAGGCTTTTGAGTGGCATTTGACACCAAACTCCTTTTAAACCGGGCATGAGCTCTGGGTCAGCAGCCTCACTCCAGTCAAAGAAGAGGAGCCAAACTTCGCAGAAGCAATTTCAAAGACGTCTGGGAAAGGGTCTTTGATCCAAGGACCAGCCTAGGGGCCATCAGGAACCAAGGCTCTGGGGGATCCCAGCAGGGCCCGGGCGCCCGCCTCGAACAATGTCGCTGCCTGCCCCGGACCGCTCGCAGTGCCTGGGCCACACTGGGGTGTCCTGGGGTTTCTTCTCCATACCTAGACTCAGCTTCGCCGCCCGAGTCTGTCTTCCTGGAACACGGAACGCGGGCGGACTGTGTTCTCAGTCACAATCAGCTCGCATGACCTGGGGGCGCGGGCGCAAGCTTGCAGCAGCGGCTGGCAGAAAGCGCCGCGCACCCCGCCTGTGCACACACCTCCGCTCCCGGAGGCGGCGCGCGGTCGGGTGTGCGTGGGACGGGGCGGGGCGGAGCGGAGCGGAGCTCACTGGAGGCCGGCCCCTGCTCCCCTCCCCCGCCGGCGGAGATTGACAGGGCTCGGGCACCCGCCCCAACCAATGAGCGCGTCCTGGGGCGGGCCCTGGAACCGGCTGCTCCGGCTACTTAGAGTCGTCGGCGCGGCGGTGGGAAAGCAGAGCCGAGCCGGGACTGTCCAGTGGGAGCAGGCGGGCCGGCCAGCGCAGACCTGGTGGCGCACGGGCGCCGCACTGCACGGTTCAGCGAGGGGTAGAGCGGAGCCGCAGCCCCACGCGCAGCCCAGGACCCACTCGCCACCGCCGCTTCCGCAGCACCCATGGGGACCACGAGACTTTAAAGGAGTTTGGGGTTTCGGGAGCAGGGAAATCACGGGTAGGGAGAAGCGGCTTTCTTTGCCTTGGAAACGGTTTTTCTTCGTCCGATTGTTTGGATCCTGTGCTGGGTAGGAGGGAAAGGGGTCTTTGGGCTAAAAGTGGACCTCTCTACACACACATGCTCCCACCCACACCCACACACATACACTGCACAGGCTTTCTCCATCCTTCCCCTGCCTCTTTGTTAGGTTATTTTAGACAGAGCAGCCTCGCCCTGGCGCAGTCCGATTGGCCCTGATGGGGACAAGGCAAGAGAAGTAAGGGGCAGAGTGCACCTGCCGGTGAGGGCAGGTGTGCCCGGGTGCTTGGGCGTACGTGCAACGGCGAGCGTGCAAGTGTGGAGCTGAAATTGTGTACGAATGTGTGGGGTCTAAGTGTGCCAGTGTGTCGTCGCGAAGGTTTGCCATTGTGGGTGTATGTGACATTATACACCAGTATACCAGCTTGCCAGTGTCTGGACTCCCAATTGTCCAAAATGTTGCTGGTGTCAACTGAATGCCTGAGAATGTGTCCGATTGTCATTGTGCGAGCCACTGTAAGGGGAGGAAGGCAACCTAGTGCAAAACTGGGAGGTGGGCTGGAGAGGGTGGGGACAGAAATGGGAGCTTAGCTTGCTCCCAGCTCACTGGCCTTAGGCTCCCTTCTCCCTTTCAGCCCACCCCTCCGTCCTTCCTGGGCGTCCGTCTCCCACGCTGCCACAGTCAGCGCTGTCCTCCCCACTGGGACCCCGCAAGCTCTCCAGCCAGCCTGGGTGTTTTCTTCTGGGAGTTGGACCGGGTTCCCGGAAGGGGTCGGAGGCTATGTCGTGGCATCTGCTCTCGCCGGACCGGTGGCGGCTTCTCTGCCCCTCCTAGCCTGGGGGAGTCACGGAGGACTGGGCCGGAAAGGGTGACCCCGGTGAGGGCACGTAGGCGAGCCAGCAGGTCCCAGGGGCACTGCACGTCTTGGGGAGGGACACAGAAAGGGGCAGCCAGGACTCTGACGGTGTCTCTGTCTCTCTGTGCCTCGCAGATCCCCGCTCCTGGCCCTCACCTCGCCACCTCATTGATGGGCAACCAACTGGACCGCATCACCCACCTCAACTACAGCGAGTTGCCCACAGGGGACCCGTCGGGGATTGAGAAGGACGAACTGCGGGTCGGGGTCGCCTACTTCTTTTCGGATGATGAGGAAGACCTGGACGAACGCGGGCAGCCCGACAAGTTTGGCGTGAAGGCCCCCCCGGGTTGCACCCCCTGCCCGGAGAGCCCCAGCCGCCACCACCACCACCTGCTGCACCAGCTGGTCCTCAACGAGACTCAGTTTTCCGCCTTTCGGGGCCAGGAATGCATCTTTTCCAAAGTGAGCGGCGGGCCTCAGGGCGCCGACCTGAGCGTCTACGCGGTCACCGCGCTGCCAGCGCTCTGCGAACCCGGAGACCTGCTGGAGCTGCTGTGGCTGCAGCCCGCCCCGGAGCCGCCCGCGCCCGCCCCGCACTGGGCCGTCTACGTGGGCGGCGGGCAGATCATCCACCTCCACCAAGGCGAGATCCGCCAGGACAGCCTATACGAGGCGGGCGCGGCCAACGTGGGCCGGGTGGTGAATAGCTGGTACCGCTACCGCCCGCTGGTGGCCGAGCTGGTGGTGCAGAACGCCTGCGGCCACCTGGGCCTCAAGAGCGAGGAGATCTGCTGGACGAACTCGGAGAGCTTCGCCGCCTGGTGCCGCTTTGGCAAGCGGGAGTTCAAGGCGGGAGGGGAGGTGCCGGCCGGCACGCAGTCCCCGCAGCAGCAGTACTATCTCAAGGTGCACCTGGGAGAGAACAAGGTCCACACCGCCAGGTTTCACAGCCTGGAAGACCTCATCCGCGAGAAGCGCCGCATCGACGCCAGCGGCCGCCTGCGAGTGCTCCAGGAGCTCGCCGACCTCGTGGACGACAAGGAGTAGCCGCCTAGGGGCTGCCAGCCCCTCTGCCTCCCCACACTTCGCTCCCTTCCCTTCCCCGCACCCGGACTTCGCAGTTGGCGGTTCTCAACCCCTGCCCCCGAAGCGCGTCCGTTGCGGGTGTCCCGGGCCCGGGCTGCACCCCCGCACCCCCCAGCCAGCGGCAGGCAGTCTCAGGAACTGCCCCAGGGCCGAAAGGGCGCCGCTGCGCGCGCCTGGCCGACAGCCACGGTGGTAGTGACGGTGCTGGGAGACCCCGCGTGCGCTTTCCCCTTGAGATGTAAACCGGGAACGGAAAAGGGGCTGAGGGGAGAAAGGATATGGCGTCCCCCACGAGTCCATGGCCAGTGACTGTGGCCCGACCCGAAAACGACCCTCTTCTCAAAAGGGACCATCACCGCCCCGAGCGCGTGCACAGAGACCGGTCGGAGGCGAGAATTGGTCTTTTCAGGGCACAGTTCAGCTCCTCTGTGGATGCGTCCCCAGATCGCAGGATTTCCAAGAAATCGAGCCTGTCCCTTGTGCACTTGGGAATAATTCCCCAAGACAGCACTTCGGGATTCCGGGTTATCCTGAGGCTGCCCGGGACTTTTCCAGCTCTCCTGCCCCAGGTCTCCTGACATTGTGTTCCAGGCTGCGGGCTAAGCCAGACAGTGTTTGCCTCCCGTTCTTTCCACCGAGGGAAGCGAACGCCACCCCCACCCGCCTTTGCCTCCGAGTCTCCCTCGCTGGCGAAGGGAAGCCGACCTGGTCCCGGGAGGAAGATGGCGCAGCGATTTCGGTGAGGACAGCCGGCCCCGCCCCCGACAAGGAGCTCCCTCGTTCACCTGGTGTCTGGGAACTTGAATGTGTGAAGGGCGCTTATTGTTCTGAACCCTTGATTGCTCCCTCCTCGGGCTGCGTTTCAAAAATAGTCATATTTTTAAAGGAGTTGGAGGAGAGGGAGGGGGAGGACATGGCACCATTCCAGAAACCAGCATTATTACAACACCATAGCCAGTATATTTAGTTTGGCTTTTCCTAACATAGAAATCTTCAAAGGTGGGGCAGTGGAAATAAAGTTTTAAAAATGAGAGAGCAGTTTTCCAACTATGTCAACAAAGCCTATCGTGTTGATGTTTTTATTGACCATTTTAGCAACATGCTAATAAAATTTCAAATTGAAATTTTTATTTTCATGGCTTTAATCCATGATAGTTTAAATATTGGGGGCCATTAAGAGTGGATGTAGCTAAGAGCTTAGCTAACATTGCCTTTTCACTCTATTTTTCTCAAATATTATAAGAATTCTGTTTTTGAATATTGTTAATTTTTTGGCTTTCAACAGCAGCCCTAGTAATGGTGGAGTTGTTAATTAATGTGTATATTGTACTGAATTTCTGTCAGTTAAGGGGTTCACTGCTTTGGTGGAAATTGGTGGAAATTGCTAGCAGGTTCCATGATGTTTATTTTCTCCATGTTGTATATCATTACCATTTCACATTTGCATTTCTATTTTTCTTCCTCTCCTCCTGATCTCCTTAAAAATGAATCTAGAGTTGGTGGCTTTTTTCCCCTCCTCTTTAGCCAGTTCCACAGTTCAGTTCTTCCTGAAAACAGGGAAGAACTTGTAGGATCAGGCAAATGTGTGTTTTTCAAAAACTTAGGGCTGGGTGTGAAACCCCTTCTGTGGACAAGGATTTGTAAACTTCTCTCCTCCCGCTGTGGCCCCAGCCTAACTGATAGTTACTTGATTCAGTGTGTTAGACACTTATAGCATCTATGTCTCTTTCAAGGGAATTTGTCAAATAATGCTGTTTAACTAATTGTTGCAAGCAATTGCATATTAACAGCTGTGATTTGATTGGACAGCAAGTATTATGGCCAAAGCCAGTTTCTTGGCATTTCAAAAATAATGCAATAAAAACTAGTTGAGGTTAGCTGAGACTGGAAATGCCTTTTTCATGGTACATGATTCACTTCTATTTTTTCTTTCTTTTTCTTTTTTTTTCTTTGGTTTTCATCCTGGATTCATCCCCTGATCTTAAATCAAAAGGTCAGATCAATGAAATATGAACTAAAGTATTTTTCTTAAGCCTATTGAGTGATTTATTTTTTAAAAAAAATGTTTAAACGCATATGCTTTTCTTTCAGCACAAACAACAGCAAAACTTTTGTAATAACTAACTTACATTTGCATGTATGAAGAACTGAAAGTCATTTATTTCCCTTTTTCCTCTTTCAAATAACAGGTGGCAGATCATAAAATGAATTCTTTATTGTATCTACACACTCCACATTCTTTACTGTGTCCTACTACTGTATCTTGGCTCCCTGCTGTATTAAACACCATCTTAAGCACTTGTTCCTGCAGACTCCTTCTTGACATTTTGTCTTCCACCTCAAAGTCACTCAAAGGGTGGGACTCATCAAAAGAAAGGAGTTAGTCTCTATCACACCGAATACTAAGATTTATTTCCTCTGATGGTACACAGATTTCTCCCTCACTAAGAGGGTCACTCTCATAGAGGAAATATCTTGTCAGTTTTATACTTGCTAAGGCTAGACTGACAATAAAAATGAGTTGGACAGTTCAATTAGGATTCGTTACTATATTGGCCTAGAAAGGATTGGGTTGATGATAATACCTCTACAAATATGCAATAACAAAACAATAGTTATGAAAGAAACTTGAAAGTTTTGCAAGGTTTCTCATATTCCTGTTGAAATTATCATTTATTATCTCTTTGTCAATGTTAGTAAGGTAACCCATGACAGAATTTTTCTAATTTGAGTGATAGTTCATGATGCAGAGGATATGATCACGATATTACCTAATGGTTTTATCCTGGAAAAGGTGTATATTTTTAGGGCATTGTTAACAATGTGAGTGAAACCAAGATGGTGCAAGTTCCCTTTGCAGATGGCATGGGCACACTTGATTTTTATTATGAGTGAATGTAATCTTTCTGTATTTTACCAGTTACAGAAATTACCTGAAAAGTTTCCTAACATTTTAATAATGCTAGGGGTTTAGTTTTGGTTTTAGTTGTCCTCAAGAGACCACAGCTTCACAGTAATTTCCATGATGTTGGGTGTGGCTAAGTTGGGGATTGGTTCTGTTCTGCCTGCTCCAGTGTAGAGAACAGCTATATTTATACTGCATTCTTTCTCAACTTTCAGGTAGTGAAAACAAACTATGATTTAACAAAAGAAAAAGAAAAGACAGGTACTTTTACTTCAAAGAGTGCTTTGGTCCACTTTTATTTAAACCAAAAATCAAATAAAATAAGGAGGAGGGCTGGGTATACTTTAAACAAAACCAGTCCTGAAATGCTGTTATTCTCAAAGTACATTCCAAACCAAAAAAATATATAGAATTTACATATGTTGCATTTTTAAGTATGAGTTAAATTGATATAAAGTGTTCCTCAATATTAAAAAATGTAAGCTATTGTAATGACAGTACTTTTAAAAAATAATAATATATATTATAGTTAGGAAACACTTATGCCAGATTAGAACATCAAGCATAGAAGCAGCTGTATGATTTACTTGTTTTTTTTTTTTTAACTTTAATGTTTACCTTCCCCTATGTTTAATTTTTCTGTGGTGAATACTTTTGTTAGAACATGGTTTTTTTTATTTTTCTTGGAAAAATATGCTATTAGTATTTACAAAATAATGATTTACCTGAATAAGTAGTATATACTAAAAGTCTTCAAACATACTTTATTGACTACTTATGTTTTGTGGTGCGCTTTCAACACCCCTAAGTGTTAAATGTCTTAGTCATCTAATAAATGGAACAGGGTCGAGTTCCAATGAAATTAATACCAATTGCACAATCATAATACAGCAACCTAATTTTCTTTTATTCATAGGCATATCTTCTTTCTTCTCTTTTTTGAACACATGAAGAGAATCCAGTTAGTTTTTGCCTTTCAGAGGTGATTTGCCACGTGCACAAAGGGTCTGTAGGTGAAAAGACAGACCTTTGTGTTTCCTGAAACATCAAAAACTGAATTTACAGAATAGTTATCTAACACTCAAGTCAACTTTTTTTTGAAATTACTAGCTATTGGTATAATATGCATATATATACATATTTACATATACATAAACACATGTACATTTATGTATATGTAAGTACACATTCATATACATATATACACATGTATATATATCTGTGTGCACATACATTTTTGCCTATAGCTAGCAATTATTTCATTCAGATACATATACACACACACACGCATACAGGCTACTTAAAAACAAAATGGAGAGTGACTTGAGATATACAAAAAAGGAAGAAAAGCCCTGGCGGTCATATAGCTAATGTATAACTGGACAGCAAGCAGCTACTCGTAAAGCTAACAATAAACAAAAAGAAAATGTGGGAGTTATGCAATTAGTTTTATTCTCATTTTTGGAAAAATATGTTCCTGATTTCTCTAACTAAAAAGAAAAAAATTCAAAGGAAAGCTGTAAATATTAGAAAGTAACTGAAAACTAAGAAGAACGATAAAGTGGGGAGGCTATGAGATGATATAAGGAGCTAATAAGCTTTTCAACAGGGGACACCTGTTCTCCCTTCTAACTGAAGACACTAAAGAGAAGCTAAGATCCTATCTTTCAAACATTTAGTAATTTATAAAATCCCATTATTTCAAAACTCAAAGTTTGCCTTTGAGGTTGTATGTTTACCTCATTTGAACTCGAAATAGAAGAGGTTTAAGTATTTGAATAAGTTGAGGGAAAAAAAGGAAAAATAGTCTTCCCCGATCTTGTCACTGATGGTGACACTGCTTGTAATTACTGTATTTTTTGGCAGAACACTCAGATGAATGGCTTCCTATGCTGTGGACTTTTATCATCTTTTTGATGGCTGATAGAAGAAGCACACAGTAGGTACTCCATAAATGTAAGACTATGGCAGCTGTTTAGTACAAGTGCTTCTCACTAATTCTTAGTTACCAGGAAACCAGAAAGCCCATCACTTGCCTTGCCTGCAAAGGTGAGGCTAAAGAAATTTCTCTAAGCAAAATTGGCAGGGTCTTTCCACCTCAAAAGGCTCATGGAAGTACACCTTATGGGGCTAATTCAATTGAAGGGTATTTGGAATATTTGATTTGCTTCTAGCAGAGAAAACAAAGAATCCAGGAAAAGCAGAAAATGTTCTCTTGTCATTCAGTCAGAAAGGGAAAAGCAAACTCATAGTTCCAACTGTAACTTTCATAACTTCATCTCTCATTCACCTCAGGGAGAGATTTTTCTCATGAAATCATAAGATTATTCCTTCAGAAGGAAGCTTATTGTAGCTCTTGTTAAAAATTTTCTTCGGTTTATAGGAATATATTTATTAGATGTACACTTAACTCTGGGAAAATTAGATTTGATGGAGTTTGGTCATGGGTGTTTTTCTAAATACACATTACTCATTGATATATTAAAATATTAAAATAATTGCTATGCCTCTTGGCTTTTATAATTCAATTCTTAATATGAATATGAGTTCTGAACTTTATGTTGTCCAAAGGATAGATGCCTATGAAATACTAGGTATGAATAGAATCAATGTCCTAAATTTCAAGCATAAAATGAATGCTTCAAAAGTTACTTTGAGCATCATTTAATGTTTCAAAAAATTGAAAAAGCTCATATAAGGCTATTGCTTATATGTATCCTAAGGAAATTCTTGCCATCAGTGTGTGATATAGACATTAATGTTCTATTTGAGAGCTTCTTTATTATAAGTACACTGACATTTGCTTTAGCAGGTAAGTTATTATTCTAAATTCAGTTATTTTCCCCATGACAGTCCTATGACATACCAGCGCTTTGCTCACTTCCAAGTCCACTATAGATTTCAGATTCTGCAAGGGGATGAGCAGATCTAGGGAGATCATACCCGTGATGACTTTGAAAAACATCTCTCAACTCCCAATAGCACTCGCTTTATTTCTTCCCACCTTTCGCTTCTCAGTGCAAGTGTCTGCCCAGGGGGTCTGAGCTAAAGGGAAGCAAGGCTCAGAGGTAGGACTGCCAGATTTAGCAAATAAAAATACAGGATTCTCAGTTACACTTGAATTTCAGGTAAATTATTATTGATTTTAGGATTATTGTGTTAGAATAAATATGTTCCCTGCAATATTTAGGTTGTTTGTACTAAAGCTTATCTGTTTATCTGAAATTCAAATGTAACTGCATGTCCGGTATATTATCTGGCAACCGTTCTCAAGGATAACTTTATCAACTCTAAGAAGCAACAGAGTCCCCTGACTTTTTGGAGCTGGCAAAGGACACACCCCCTACCCACAGCATTGAGGTCCTGTGAGATTTTCCATGTGTCTTTTAAGGCCAGAGTCAGATTCAGGCCCAGGAATGAGCACATTGTGCAGGAGAGGCCTCAGAAGAGTTCACAGCCCCCATGATCATTGAGAGAGAGTTGGTTGTGTGTATGTGTGGGTGCGGATGGGTAGGTGTTTCTTTTACTCTCTTGATTCTATTTTATAGGAGACACCATCCTTTACCTGGGGAGATGATGAATACTTTCCTAGATATAGTCAGGAATGCTGTGTGCTACTGCTTTTTATCCCACCTGCTATTTATTCCAATCTGGATTTTCACTTTACACCTGGCTATTTCTATAGCTTCCTCACCTGTCTCTACCCCTCTAGCTCTTCTATCCAAACACCTGGGTCTATAGCGCTGTTTCTAACCACAGAGTCATCACTGCCAAGTAAAGGCTGAGCTCCTTAGTGGGGCAGTCAGCGTCCTCCGTGGTCTGGCCCCTATCTTCACCAACTTGCATTTCCTTCAACTCTCATCTTACACTCGGGCCACACAGGACTTTTTGTAGAACATGTAGTTTTCATTCATACTTTCTTGGCTTTCTATGTTGTCCCCTTAACCTGTTTACCATTCTAAATTCCTGAACAGGCCAGGCGCGGTGGCTCAAGCCTGTAATCCCAGCACTTTGGGAGGCCGAGACGGGCGGATCACGAGGTCAGGAGATCGAGACCAACCTGGCTAACACTGTGAAACCCCGTCTCTACTAAAAAATACAAGAAACTAGCCGGGTGAGGTGGCGGGCGCCTGTAGTCCCAGCTACTCGGGAGGCTGAGGCAGGAGAATGGCGTAAACGCGGGAGGAGGAGCTTGCAGTGAGCTGAGATCCGGCCACTGCACTCCAGCCTGGGCGACAGAGCGAGACTCTGTCTCAAAAATAATAAAATAAATAAATAAATAAATAAATAAATAAATAAATTCCTGAAGAGCAAACTCTTATTCATCTATGCTTTATGGCCGGGCTCCATGCTAGCCCCTCAGGTGGCTTTAGTCAGTTTCTTTTGTAGTTCCCGCTGTAGTTTGTTAACACCCCCAGACTCTCTCTTCAACTACAAATACCATTTATGTCTGTCTCTTCCTAGGTCTATTGGGGAAGGCTCTATGACTTGCT